GCTCAGATGACGCTTAGAGCTAGGGAGAACGCAAATCGGCAGAATAGGGTCTTTGACGTTGGTGACAAAGTTTTGGTCAAGTCCAACCGACGACTCGGAAACAAACTCACACCTTTATGTGATGAGAAGGCCGTGGATGCAGACCTGGGGACCGAGGTCCTCATTAGAGGGAGGGTGGTCCACAAGGACAACCTAAGATGACTCTTGTTTTTTTTTATTTTTAAGCCACTAGGCAAACTTGTATAAGTTAGATATAGTTTTTCAATTTACTGTTAGCCACTTGGCATAGTTTTATTAAACATTTTTGGTGGTGGGCAAACCTTTTAAAAAAAAAAAGGTTGCTAAAAAGAAAGGAAACAACCTTATTTCACAGGTTGGGATCCATAGTACTCCTTTTCTTATCAGTGGCTTCGGCACATGTCACCGACTACTCGCGTGCCAAGTACATTCCCATCATCGACGGCGAAATCTTGATATGGGAAGAATACGCCTACGTTAGGCACTCGGCAAACCTCTCAGAATACGTGCGAATTGTGGAAGAAACGGTCAAATTAATTGACATGTTCCCGCTATCCCACATGAAAAAACTTCTGAGTGTGGACACGGTACATCTACAAGACCTATTGGAGGCGTTAGGCACGCATCATAGAGTCGCCAGAAGTTTAGATTTCCTAGGGTCCATACTGAAGGTTGTGGCGGGTACACCTGATGCCAGGGATTTAGAGCAGACTAGATTTACTGAAAGGCAGCTAGTAAATGCCAACATAGACAGATAGAAATAAACACTAGAGTTCAAGACCAGCTTAACCAGTTGACATTCACTGTCAATAAGATTCTCAAGATAGCCAAAAACTCACAAGTTGACACTAGCCATTTATTCGAGACACTATTGTCTAGAAATAGAATGCTGGTAATGGAGTTGCAAAATTTAATGCTTGCTATTACTCTTGCAAAGGCTAACATTGTTAGCCCAAACATTTTGGACCACTCAGATTTGAAATCAATTTGGCTAGAGGAACCCACCAACACTCCCATAGGAGATCTTATGTCCGTTGCGTCCGTAAAAGTCCTTCAATCCATTAACACTATACATTTTATAATTAAATTCCCAAAGATTAAACAAGCTTGCAGAAAAATTACGATTTATCCTGTCATTCACAAGAATTTCATATTGCGATTGCCTGACAACGTCATAGCCGAATGCGATGGAAAAACCCACACACTGCAGAGTTGCACCGCTTCACCTGGAGCCACCTTTTGTCGTCTGGCATTAGAGAGTTCATGTGCCAAAGAGCTCCATGCAGGTTGGCACGGCACACTGTGAAATCCAGCCGAGCAACCTGGAAATAATCACCCACGTAGATGATGGAATCATCATTCTTAACGACGGGTCCGCAAGGATCCAGGTGGGATAACGGCACTGAAATCCAAGTACACGGCACGCATCTCATTACGTTCGGGGACCGAGTCGCGATCAACGGGACTCTGTTTTACAACCACAACAACGTACGCAATAGAGTCCCGGGCATTGCCAACTCTCCCTTGCTGAACATCACTGCCAGCCAAGATGTCCTCAGCCTCCCTTATCTTCATCGTTTAAATGAACGTAATTTGGAGGAGATACAGCAATTCAAGAAAGACGCCGAACTGATCAAGCTTATCGTGTGGCATTCATCATTGGAGGTATATGCTGTGCTTTAATCTGCATTGGCCTCACCCTTTGGCGGTTCATCGACGCAAGGAAGTCTGCGAAGCAATTACGAGAAGTCGTCGCCGGAATTGGGTCGGCCGAGGGCGGCCTTACACTTGAAGGGGGAGTAGTTAACACATAACATTTAATATAGGGTATTTCATAAGTTTATAATCAACCCTCGCTATCGCGTGTTTCGTAAGTTAAGAAACAGCCCTCGCAATTGCGACACTGCATACTTTGTATCAGCGCGCTATAACTGCAATGGTCAGCGGCGGTAACCAGATACTTTTGTTTACTGCAAGAGTTTCCGTTATTGCCTAAGATTGCTGAGTCGGCTTGCCGACCATGACATTGTGGTGTGATGCGAGTTTTGGCTTAGCTTAAGTGAAATATTCTATGTAGCTAAAAATCAGTTTTGCATTGAAGTTTGAAGAATAAACCCGCACTACTCCGGCACACCGCCGTAATCAAATTGTTATATTTCTGATCATTGCTGAGCCACAAGGCCAGTTAATAGAAAAGGGGGTGAAGTCAAACCCTCCAACATAATCATCATAAGAAGATTATAATTACCCGATCAACGCTGGACCTGCCACCGACGCCTAGCTCATAGCTGGACCAGCAACTTATTGATTAAGACTATAAATACCCGATCAACGCTGGACCTGCCACCGACGCCTAGTTCATCGCTGGACCAGCAACATATTAATTTATACAAAAAATAATAAATATTATGAAAAACTTCAGCACAATAAATAAGAATGCGGCAAGCAAAAAATTGGAAGTAAAAAATTAATTAAACAAAATAATATATATTTAATAGTATATTATGCAATAAAAAACTTCTTCAGAAAAATAAATAAAATTAACAATGCTTCAATTAAATATTTAAGCAATAATAATTTCTGGAACATTCCACAATAATTATAAAACAATAGAACTACAAGAACCTTCAGGATCTTCAGAAAATGCCGAAAGTAAATGCAACTATAAATGAAAATAAATTGACAGACAAAGAATCAACTGAAAAATATATTTTATATAATATTTATAATATTAAAATATATTATATATATATATATGTTACAAATAGCACAAACTATAAATTTAAAAAAAAAACAAATGATGCCCTACTTAAATATATATATATTCTAAACTCATCAAATCAACGAAGCTCAAGTTACAAACAAAAGACATCTTGAAGGAAATACCAATGCAGCTGGAGAATCGATGGCAATGAAGTTCAGATCAGCTACTGACACATGTGACAAGCCTACATCATCTTCAACCAATACTATATCATACATATTTATCAGAGGCATTACGACAATATCTTCCACTTGCACTTCAATTAATTTGTGCCTTTTTTAGTTTCATTTTTCTCTTCAGTTTTGTTGCTGTTTTTTCGTTATGAAAGCTATAAATTTGTTGGTCTAACAATATTCTTGTTAAAAAATTTCCACACAAAAAAAATATATAATTAGTAATGCTTAAGAGAACCACAACCAAAAAAACCAATGTAAAATCGAGAAATTTTAACAATCTATATTGCCAATATCAGGCGTGTTTTTGTTATAGAAATGAATTTGTTATTGATTTAAGTTCGTTTAAAAAAAAAAAAAAGAATTTCGTTTTCATTTTCCAATTTTTAGGATTTCATTTCGGTTTTCATTTATTTCATTCCATTTTTATTTGGTAAGTTTTTGACTTTAATTTTAATTAATTACCTTTTTCTTTGGTTTTTACGAATTTTCAATTGGTAAGTTTTTAGTTTCAAAGTTTATTTTGTTTGTGAGACATTTAAAATTTATTCAGTTACTTAAAATTTTAATTTGGTAAGTCCAAAACCTTATTTTAATATAATTCTCATTTAGTACTTCTGAATTTAATTTTTTAGTATTTATTTCTACTTATTTATTATTTATATTAATTTTTATTCATATGCTATAGTTTATTGAAAATTTTGTTTTATTATTATTTATTTTTAATACCTTTTCTTTATGTTCAATATTACTTTAAAATGTTTATATATATTTTTTGTTTATTTTATTTTTAATCATATTTTATTTTTAATTTCCTTTCTTATTACAATTGACATTATTTGTTTTAAATATGCCTTTTTTATCATTTGAATATTTTAAGTTTTTATGGCTTTTAATTTTTTCAAATCAATTTATTTGTTATTTTTATTATTTATTATCAATTAAATGTTTGTTTTTATTTTTTTTAAATATATATATTTTTTCTATTTATTTAAATAATTTACATTTTAAATAGTAAATTTATTTGTCTTTTTAATTTATGATTTTATTTTTAGTTTTAATTTTATTTTTAGTTTTAATTTTACTTTACACATTTATTTTATACTATGTTTTACTGTTTTAATTTATTTCAAATGTTTTCCCAAAATTCGGTTTTAATTTCCCAATAAATTTATAAAAGAGTTTATTTTTATTCATTTTTGTTTCTTTTGTGAGTTTAATAGAGTTTATTTTTTATTAATTTTTGTTTCTTTTGTGTGTTTATATATTATTATTTTTTGAATGTTTTTTAATTTTCTGTGCTTTTTTTTTAATTTACCAATTTTATTATGTTTAAAATTCTCTTATTTGCAATATATTTTATTTTTATTATATTTAATTAATAATATTTTTTTAAACCTTTGATTTACATTTTTCTTAATGTTTTCTTTTTTATTTCTAATTTATATATTATTTTTGTTCATATTTGTTTTTTTTTTTGTTTTAATAATGATTTATATTATTTTCTTTCGAATTTTTAATAAATATTTTGTTTCTTATGCAGTTATATTTTATATATTTAGTTTTGTCTATTATTTTTTTCCTGTTTTTGCTCAATTTATATTGTTTTTAATTTCATATTTTATATATTTTATTTATTTATTTGCAAAATTTTTATTTTATATTATTATTTACATTATTATTATATTATATTATATTTTTATATTTTTGCTCATTTTGTATTTTATTTAAATTCATATTTTTGTTCTAATAATTTGTTATCTTAATTTACTTTTTATATTTTCATAATTTCTTCAATTTTTTCCTTTCGATTCCGGCCTTACATATTCACTTTATTGCTTAGCTCTAATGAAATATCTAATTGTTTCCTAATTGGGCTTCTCTTTAATGTAATTCATAAGCTTTGTGCGCTTAATGCCGACAAGACCTACTACCTTTTGAATAAACTGTACTTCCAATATAATTTTTGTGTTTTACTGAAATATTTGCGGATCGTTTTTTGAGAATCTTTTGAATTGTTTATTGAGCAAATTGCAAAGTCGTGGGCATAAATACTTTATAATTGTAGCTTAGGAATTAGACACATAAATAGATAGAGATTATGTTAAGCCACGCCTACAAGGCGGCTGCTGCGGTTGCGCGTTTGCAGTCACTGCTGCGCTGCCTTCGCCTGCGCATCCGGGCCAGGATTGGCCTGCGACTCGCTGGGATTGGGCGCCGTTTGGGCCGCAGCTGCTGGCATTTGGGCGCTACCATTACCACCACCATCACCATTTGAGCCGGCTGCATCGGTCGGGCTCTCCGGAACCGCATTGCTGTCCCGGTCGAACAAATAGCTGCCGCCTAGAGGGCGTGGTCGGCCACCATAGGAAGAGCTACAAGGGGCGACAAGAGAGCAAGCCTATCTTAATGATTTTTACAATTCCACCCAGCATCGCATGCTACTAATCTACACAGCTAAACGAAGTCGAAGAGTGGGTGAGGGTCGAAGAGTTATTCAGCTGTGGCCACTCTGCACCCACTGCAACTTACCTCTGTGGATCACGCTCTCTATCTCGACCGCCGCCGCCACCGCCACCGCCACCTGAACTGCTGCTCGCACTACCCGCAGAATTGCTGCTGCCACCAGCAGCACCACCACCACCACCACCATTACTGCCGCCCATTGAACTCTGCTTATCCTGATCGCCCAGATACGTCCAGCCGCCCTGGCCACTGGGCTTGCCCATGACTGTGGTGTGGCCGCCGCGATAGCCGTCGCTGTCGATGGCCGAGGAGGAGACCTTGGTGCCGCGATCACCGTATGGGCAGTTGCTGATCAGGTGGCCGCATGGCGAGGCAGCGCCAGACGATTGGCCGCGTTCGCGATCGTAGACGGGCTGAGCGCCGGAGCGACGATCGTCGTCATCCCTAGCAAAATAATAGCCGCGGCCCGAATTATCGAAGCCCGACTGACCTCTGGGCCGGCGGCAAAAGGCCATTTGGATGGGTGCGTGGGTGCAGTTTAAGTGGGACAGAACAGGACAGTGGGTGAGGTTCAAGTGCAATTAAATCCACAGATTCGTAATTGGCGTAGAGTATCCAGAGTTCATGTTGTTGTGGTGTTTTGTGTGTTAAGTAAACGTAGTTGTTGATCGTGTTGTTGTTGTTGTTGTTGTTGTTGTTGTTGTTGTTGTTTGTGGTATTGTTGTATGTAAGTAGAGAGCAAGAGCGTTAGAGTTGTCAACACAAAAATAAAACTAATAAAAACAAAGAAATAAAAGTAGTAGAGCAGGATAGCGATACCTGTAGGTCTCATCCCATGGACGATAGTTGCGAAAATCATACCTTGAATAGTAGCGATCGTAGGGATCGTATCTGTCATAGCTGGTACGTGAACGATCATAATAACGATCTGCAAATAGAGTTTATTAAGAGCTGCACGGAATTGCAGAGTTACAACGCTACGCACCGCGTGAACTGTCACGATCGCCGTAGTAACGATCTCTGCTATCGTAGCCGGAGTAACTGTAGCCGGAGCCCGCGATCATAGCCAGTCGAGCCACGTCTATAATAATCATCGTATCCTCTGCCCTCGTAGCGATCGTAGGTGCGTGGCGAGTAGCGATCATCGCGACTATAGTATCTATCCGCGTCACGATCTCTGCCGCGATCCTCGTAACGATCATAGGAGTAATACCAGGAGCTGCGCGGCTCGTCTCCACTGCGACTTGAGTAGCCGCTGCCGTAGCGATCACCGTAACGATCGCCGCTGCCATAGCGATCGCCGCTGCCATAGCGATCGCCGCTGCCATAGCTGCTGTAATAACGATCCTCATAGCAGCGCACGCAGCGTGATTGACGACTCTTGCCACTGCCGCGCAGCACCGAGTCCAAGACGCCGGCAGAGCCCGTTGTCACTTGCTTGTCATTGCCAGTGGGCGTGGCGCTGCGCGACTCAGGTCCTCGCGACGAAGCCTGGACACAGACAACGGCCAGGCAAAGCAGCTGCAAAAGAGTTGAGAGTTGTGTTGCGTGATCATTAGCTGATTGTTTATGGATAGATTTCACAGTCCAACGACCAACTGGGCCAAAGCCCTCAGCCTCCAATCATAATTGACGAAAGTACTGGCAAAGTGCTGCTCGAAATACAAAGCGATCATCAGCAGCGTTATTATCATCATTAAAAAATGGACACTCGTCGGCAGCGAGCGTGAAATATGATCAATGGACGGTGCGAGCGAGCGAGCGAGTTTGGCTTTTACCTGCAGCTCGGGCCAGCTAGCTTCGATTATGCAATAATAGAGCATAGATTAGGGCTCAACTGGCGGCCAACACCTCGCGCACACATATGGCAATAGTAATAATAATAAGTTCAGATAATAATAATAGATATATAATTAAAGCGCACAACCAAAAACTCATATTCATATGCATAAAATAGCATTGACATAATTTTATTTTCATTCATGGCTGGAATCATAAAGTTCGCTTGCCCAGCTCGCCCCCTCTCTCTCTCTCTATCTCCATCTCTCTCTCGCTAATCATGAATATATGCTGGCGAGCTGCTCCGCTACGCTTTGCTAGTCAAGCATCAGGAACAACTTCCGCTTGGCGGGGTTGGCTATAACCAAAAAAATATTAAAAAAAAACTCCAACTGGCCAATCGGTGAATCTCGAGTTCGTGACTTCTCGCTGAGTGTGGGCGCTCTTTATTAGAATAATTATACATATATATATTTATTTATATATATATTAGCAAATATTAACGCTCAGCATATTTTGGCAGGGAATTTATGAATAATTTGCCACTTACATAATATTCAACGAAATTTCTATAAATATTACATCATAGAGCGAGAGTTATGCGTGAGTTCTCTACGGACTCATTGCACAATGCGTAGGTCAGCAATAGGATTTTATAATGAGTATTGAAGCTATCTGTCTATATCTATAGACTAGCTTCAAATTCGAAATAAACTAGCTCTAAACTCTGAGCAGAGTCTGTGAGTTATTGAGTGGGGCAATCTCTCTGAACTAGCTCTATATATTTTGATATATCTATGAATCAGTTTAGGTTTATCGGCAGCTTAAAACATCAGAACTAAGTTCACATGAGTTAACTAGTTCTTAATTGATGAGCTTCTTACTTAGAACTAGTTTAAACATGTTAACCTAGCTCCGAAGTTCAATCTATCTATAGCTTTATGAAGCGTACTCTGCTTGATATAGGCTTAGCTTGTTGAGTTTATAGTATATATAGATTATAGCTAGAGTATATCAACTATATATAAAGCTCACTTAATTACTGCTTTGCATAAGCTGTATATAGTAATATATAACTATAATAATAATATATATATAAACTCGTCTATATAAATATGTTTATAGAACTCAGGTAAGGTTAGGTAAGACTGGAAGTAGGTAAGGTTGTTCTAAGTTCTCTTGACTGCTGCGGAGGTTTAGTACTGCCAACTTGTTCCAAGAAAATTTACTTTAAGTGCGCAAAGTATAGATATATATATTAAAAAAAATTTGTGCAAATTTATATTATATATTTATAAAATAAAATTAGCCATTTTATTAGTTTTTCCCTATTTAGGCTGTGATCTCCTTACATAAAGCTAATTTTATATCAACTCAAATCATCCATGCATTACATTTTTATAGCTTTTTATATATTATTGAAATGTAAAGTTTGTTTTTTCTAAATATTCTACTCAGCATCGTGCTGTAAATTCTGGTAAATATTTAAATTATACAAATTTAATTTCAGCATTTGCATATTAGCGTAATATAATATATAATTTAACTGAGGCAGAGTTTTTAATATAATAAATAATACAATAAAAAAAACCATAAAAAATAATTAATTAATTAGCTTGACGTCAGACAAATAATAAAAAATAAATTAAAAAATCTGTAGAAATATGAGTTGGATATCTAATCGCAATATAATTTTTAAAAAATTTCTAGAAATTTATATATGAATACTCAAAGACTAAAAATTTTTACATAGAAATTATTTTTAAAATATTTTATTTTTCATTATATATTTTCTAAATATTTCTTTATTTATAATAACTTTGCTAAAATTGAAAAAAAAATCTGTTCTTTAATATATGAATTTTCAAAAACTAAACTTTTTTAACTAAAATGAATTTTAAATAAATTTTTTTTTTTAATTTTTTAAGCTTTAAAATCTAAATCTGCAGAGACCTCCAAACTTTCTTTGTCTTAAATAAATTTTTAAATATTTTTGAACATTTTTAATTCACAATTTAAGTTTTGTTGTTAATTCTTAACTCACCAATTGCAGCACATGCATTTTGTAGTTTTTATATATTTTTTTTTGGTTCACTCTATTTATCACTTCCACAAATGTTTATTTTCGTAGTCAGGCACGTGCGGAGAGAATTTATAGAGCTGGGCTCTCGAATCCTTGGCGCGATTTCGAACAGGTGATTTGGATTTGTGTATTGCTGGCAACAGAATTGAAAACACGAATGTGCTGCTGAGCTCTGTGGCACGGGTATTTATTTGAATTCGTTGAAACTAGAACCCAAACCGAAACCGAACTCGAAAAACTCACACAGAGAGACGCACTGAAGCGCGATATGGAGCTAGCGGGTGGCGGAGGCTATGCTCTATGTAGATCCAAATAAACTCTGGTATTCGTGGTTGAGGTGTTGGCATTTCGTTGGAGCTGGGGCTGTGGCTGTGGCTGTGGCTGTGGCTGTAGCTGTGACTGTGACTGTGGTTGTGGCGCCGTTTTGTCACTTCACCTGCAACACCTTGGGTGTGGGCCAAAAGCCTGCCTGAATGGGAATCAACACAGAGTCGGAATTGTGAATCAGTTTTCGTGGTTTCATGGTCAGTTTGGCATTCGAAGAATGACAAGAGGATGTTTTGTTGCGCACCCACCTACCTGTCATTATTATTTTTTGGCGGCCAATTAAAACACCTCGATTTTTTCTCGCATTGCGTAATGGTCAAGCGAATTCCTTCCCAGTCTCTGACTCACAATAACTGGATAAATCTTGGATTAAAGGCGTGAAATTAGCATTTGCTAATTGCGCTAGATTCAAATACATTTTTCGGCTCTTACATAACCCAAGACCGTGACCATGAAAAGGGTTTAAGCATAAAGCTTAACAAGACCGCCGGATGGAATCACTTAATAAATGTAGTAGATCTACAGATGACACAGCTGCATGCTCTTCTAAACATAAATAATGAAGAAGTGGATGAATGAGAATTGCATAGAAGGGTGATGTTGAAGTGTGTTATATTTAAGTGGGAAAGAGTTGAGCTTATCAGGAACTAAGGAATGAGTATAAGGAGATGGGATAATAGACGGAAGAGAAGAGATAGAAGAAGAAATGAGAAGTGAACAGAGAAAAGAAGAGAAGTTAGAATGAGAGAAGAAGAGAGATTAAAGAAAAGAGACAGAGGAAAAAAGACAAAAAAGAAGAGAAACTAAAAGGCAAGTAGTGAAATTAGAAAAGAAGTTAATATAGGATAAGAGTAATGAAAGTAGGGAGAACAAATTTAAAAAAAATAATAAATAACACCATGAAGAAGTAGACAAGTGGATGAACATAAAAATATCAAATTTATGCATATAATTTAATTTAAATTAATTAGTTTTTATTTTTCCATCTTTCAAATTTCATTTATCCAAAATAGTTTAAGATCATAGAAAAAATAATATAAAGATATGCCTAATTCAGCTTATGAAAATCGCATAGAAGAGCGGCAAAAATCTAGAAAATAATCTACACAAAATAACTCTAGTTCTATATGAAAGCTCTACAAACAGTTTGCGAAAGTTGTAATGCTCTCGGCTAGAGCAGCGTACTACGAGCATAGTAAAAATATCATTTGAACTTTACGCTAGAGTGAAATAAAAGCCCACAGCTGCTCCTGCGGCTGTTTTTCTTTTTTTTCGGCAGCGTCATCTTCTTCTTCTGCTACGTCGTCTGCATGTGCACTGAACCCCAAATGGAGGTCGTTGGCATTCACTCAACTCAGCTCGCATAAGTCCGCACATCTATAAAATTTACAACGGCGACAAGTTTAATTAAACGATTTAATTTTGTTTATCTAATGCGAGCAGACGCAGTTTATATATGTATGTATATATACACACACATATATATATATATATATATAGGTTCACTATATGATACAATATGCTAAATATGTTTGGTTTGTGTTTCTCGTTTGTTTGTCTTTGTTGTTGTTTAAGATTGCATCTAGTTCGCTTCATGGAAGAACAATTTGTCATACGACTACAGAGTAAAGTTAATTTTAGTTTTAGTTAATTATCTAGGCGTCTAAGAAACAGATTTAACAATTATGCTAGTTCAACGATTGGCTAAATACAAGTTATTGTCACATTGTGGCTAACTAGATTGTAAGCAGTGGCCTGTATTCCAAAAAGATATCACGAGTGGGCCATTGCAGCGGCAATCTCGTCCTGAAAGGCCAGAAAGCCCAGCTGGGCATGAGATGCCTCATTCAATGCGCGCGAACGTATGCAGGCGCGATACTGATCCGCACTAAGTGAACCGGTGCAAATCTGTAAGACAAAAAAAGGAGCGTCAATCAGAATACGTTTGGCCAGAGCTACTCTGTTTGGCTTACCTTGGTGTGCCAGCGATGAAAGATGCCGGGATCTGTTGCCCTTACGATCTTAATTTTTGATCTGACATATTTTCGATAGAGCATCACATCCTCCCCACCCCAGCCAACGATTTCCTCGTCAAAGCCGCGTATTTGCAGGAAATCCGAGCGATATTGGCAGGTCATGCCATAGCCAAAGTCACGCCAGAAGCCAGTATCCCTGGAGATGACCAGCTGCTCCTCCTCGCTGGGCAGAATTTTGCCCTGCAGCGTATAGACAACATGTGGATTGTAGAGGCTAAATACCACGGGATAGTAAACCTAAGAATGGAAAATAGTTAGTCAAGTCGCTTTGCTTTATATTGCCAACTACCTTCTTGCCCGGCGCCGTATTCCAGCGACAACGCTCCAGAAATTTGGCTGTAAAGACAATATCCACATCGCACATGAAGAGCAAAGCATCTTGCATTGCCTTTGCTGCCTGCGGCGGAATGTGCTCGGCGCCCAGTCGTAAGGCTTTGGCTGTAAGGGCAATTATTAGTAGGTTATCTAAGACAGACTCTAGCTGCCACTCACCTCTACTGAATGTTTCATTCAAGGCAACGAGCTGCACACGTTTAGCACCTCCTGCAATTAGCTGGGCTTCCTTAAGTCCCGCCTCGCCAAAGTAGACGACAACCAGGTGCAGGCGCTGATCAGCCAGTTTGTTTAGCCTCTGTACAAAACTGCGAAAGCTGCGCAGTCGTCCAGAGAGTGGCAGGATTACATGTATGATGGGACTGGCAGCCACCTCCGAGAGCTGCACCGTCTGCAGTGGAGCAAAGGGTCGCATGATTAGTGCTTTGCGCACGACATTTGTCTGATGCTTGATGCTCTGGAAATACAACTCATACTGGCTGCCCGTTGTGGGCTCCGTACGGTAAATGCCCTCGACAAAGTCATCCAGCGTGTAGCGGCCCAGTTCGGTGGCTGCGAGTCCTTTGGCTCTGGCACGCGCCGTATGATTGCGATTTAAACTCTCGAGCGCCTTGTTAACAGCCTCCAGGAGATCGCGACGCCTGTAGCCAATGGGCTTCTCCACGACACGCTTGCCCAGACCCAGATCAATAGGATAGACGCGCGTGAAGGTGAAGTGATTAAACGGAATCATCTCGTATTCATTATTGAGGGGCAGCCCGTGAAGTATCTCAGCGGCGCCCACCTGTTTGCGTATGTAGCTGCTGCAGTCGTAGTGATGCGTCAGCGAGGCAATCGTGGTGTCTGACTGGTGCAGATGCGAGTTACTATTGTTGTTGTTGCTGTTGGAGGAGGCTGTGGCGGAGGAGGGGGAGTAGCCACTGCTCTGCAAGGGCAACCGGACCGGTAGTCCATTGTTGCTGCGATTGCTCTGCACGAGCACAAGCTGAGCACGTAGCGTGAGTACCTCGTGCTTGAGACGCTCGATTTCCGCATCCCGAGAGCTCAGTGCATAAGTATAGCCATTTGTCTCGCTGGGATTGGGAGGCGAATCTTTATCCGTTTGTGAGGTCAGCTCATCGAAGCCCCATTTCGTTAGAATGACAATCGAAATAACAGTTACTAGCGCAAAAAGCAACAGGAGTCGCACTAGTAACCTGGAAGCCAGCGAGTTATGCATTTTCCATGTTACATTTGGCAATTATTGCTGAAAAATTATTCATTTTTAAATTATTCGCCATTTAAAAAGTTACAGCGTTGCCGGACTGTCAAATAGTGCGCAAAAATAAGTCTGCGGCGAGCGCAGTTTTATTAACAGCGCTGCTATTCATAGGCTGTAAACGCTGCTCAAATATGCGTCTGCGTTGAACGCAATGTTAATTACATCTCTGTTAGGCTACCAGCAACAAGCACCATTTTTTCATTAACAGCCTGTAAAAATTGTCAAGCAAAACACAACGTTGCCTTACAGATTTTTTTATTAATCAAAATCAAAAGAAAATTAAAAAACCACACATAAAACATTGAAACGGAACAGAAACAACAAAATAAACGCACAACAAGCATATTCCAGGTAAGTGTATTTTTGGCTAAATAGGGCGAGGCCGACAACGCAATGTAAATATTGTGCGTTGGCAGGCGGCTGCGAAAAATTCGACGAGCAACAAGTTTTTTTTGGTGCTGCTAGAGCTGGCACTGCTGTCACTGTTTGCTGCGTCACTGTGAAGAGTCGCGGTTCAGTGGGTCAGCTTAGTTGGTTTGTGGAAGCAACCAAGTCAAATTAACGATTGATGCGCTAATGACAATGGCAATTATTTCCACTATTAACAGCTACACTTCTTATTGTGAACTTTACACAGTGCGCAGTGTGACCAAGCAGCGTTGTACCCATTGCCGCTCATCACTATTTTTGTGCTAGTTCAAGTTCGAAAATTGTATGATTCATAAATGGACAAAATGTTGCATAGATAAGATGTACTTCTACATGTCAATGTAGTTTTTTTGTTGTGTATATTGTTACGAAGTGCGTGTGTGTGTTTAACTTTGTTAATCGCGAATTTTAAGTGTGTGCAGCTCTTGCTTTGCGTATGTGTGTGTGTGCATGCTTATGAGTGATTGCCTGTGCTTGTGTGTGTGTGTGTGTCTGTGCTCACCGCAATTAATTGATTCGTATCTTGAGAATCAAGCGAAATTCTCAGTGCCCCTTAAAATTAATTGGCTGTATAGATATTATATATAGGTATTTCCCTAGTACCTTCAATATGTGCTCCAGCTAGATCGCCTTTACTATATATTTCATCTAAGCCTATCGAACAGTTAGACCTTACATTTAGAACAGACTCTTTCCATATTGTTTTGTATATAATATAAACCAATATTTATTTCCGGTCTCAAATTTGTGATTCAGCTTACTTTGCGATAACTGCAATGTTATTATTATATTTAGCAATATGTATTTAGATAAAAAGCCTTGGCCATACCCTAGCCTAATCTGTGTCACTTTCTCTTGTTCATTCTCCTAATTTTGATTAATGTTGTTCCCCAAAACTGACTCAGACTTAAGAAATCTAATTTAGAATGACTAGCATTGAAAGTAGTTTCTAAACATGCCCTAAATGCCAGGGTATATAGTAGCCAATCAATCAAATTGCCTTTAAAACAAAGAACTTTTTGTTTAATATTTGTTCTTTGCTTATTTCGCAGCGCAGAAAACACACTTAAACAAGCATAAAGATGGAGAATAACGAGGCGCCCGCACCTTCCGGTTCGAACAACAATGAGTAAGTAAAACTGCCAAAAGCTGGATCCAGAGCTAGACGAGCCGCTGCATGGACAATTGAAATAGAAATTGAAAAGCGCAACGCACAAATGCAAGCCCCATATAGTCGAATCGACTTCTGATGTCATAGTATCCAATTATAGTGAATGCATTCCAATCGAATGTTGGGTGCTGGCATTCGTGCGTTGCACTAAGTCGCAGTATTGCTTCCCTGCCGCCACATATATAATATTATACAGTTTTCCCATACTTCCGCCGCCGCCAAATGCCTCGTCATCCAACTACAACTACAACAACGACTCGGCCAACAGCAACAACAATGCGGCACAGAAACGCCTGCAGCAGACACAGGCCAAAGTGGACGAAGTGGTGGGCATAATGCGCGTCAATGTCGAGAAGGTGCTCGAACGTGATCAGAAATTATCGGAGCTGGGCGAGCGAGCCGATCAGCTGGAACAGGGCGCCTCACAGTTCGAACAGCAGGCATGCAAACTAAAGCGCAAGCATGGTGGGCCAACATGAAGATGATGATCATTCTGGGCGTCATTGCCGTCGTCTTGCTCATCATCATAATAGGTAAGACTTATCGATCAGAAGTGATCAAAGCGCTCGTGCTTATGCTTCAATCTTCAGCTAACTAATTGGCTTGTAATGCAACGCTATGCTTAAGTGTATATAATATGTACTTTGATTATTAAGTTAACTGGAAAAGGTTTAATGCGCTTGCCTACACTTTGCTTAACATAGTTTTAAGTAGTATACTAAGTACACACACACACACACACACAAACACGTAATTGTTAACAACTTTCACACAACACATTGCTTAATAATTTTGTATATATTCAGACATAATTGTATAATGGCGAGAAGTAGAGTTCTCTGACAGCAAACTGCACATATTTATACGGCTAATCAGTATTACTAAGTCCATGTATATGTATTGTATACACAGTCTTGATAAGGAGTTGCTTTGTCTCCATGCAAGCTACGTAGTCTGTCAGTCAGGCAGCTTGAAAATACTTCGTTTCTCTCCAGTTTTATATTTCTATCTAGATATTTTAAAATATAATATTTAATGCAATTACACTCACCTCGGGAATTGGCTATGAAAATGCTCTTATCACACATCTGTCACCTGTCTGTCAGCCCGTGCAAAAGATAACTTTTCTGCACTTATTTAACGTTTGTCTGTCTGGGTTATGGTTGAAGTTAATTATTATTGTCGATTTAACTGGCGTGGATAAACGCGCACAACTAACCCCCAATCGATTGCCATCTTTTTTTTTTCAACAATGTTTCATTTTTATTTACTTGCAGTGTCGATTTACAATTGATAAACAAAAGAAAAAGAAAAAGAAAAAGTAAAAAGTATAAGAAAAACATATGCAGCAGGGCAACTTGTTGCGCTTACCCAATACATACGCATAACTCTAAGGCAGCTATCAACATCAACACATACATATACACATACAGCTGTGTGTGTGTGTAGAAAGAACAAAATTTTAGTTTAAGCAAAAAGGTAAAACAATTCGTTGCGTGTGCTCCATGTGCTAATTAGCTGTTTATTTGCTCAGATACTAAGCGAACGATTACTTTGCTAAACGGTCGTGTGTAGTTAATTTTAAGACCCTTGGACTTTGCAACAACAGTAACTGTAAATATATATATATGTATATGTATATATGTGAGACTGTAGTCGGGTACATTAATGTCCAATGAAGTTCTAAGCCCTAATATAAACGTTTCTTTTGCCTGACCTTTTGCAGTGTGTGCTTTGCCCTCGGGCAGCAGCGGCAGCGATCATGCTGCAAAATCCGTTACCGAGGCGCCCCATTAGATGGAGTCGCCCTCCCTCCAACCCGCTAGCACCCGGAATCGAAGTCAACGAACAGCACCTGTATGGCAATTTCTTATGGAGGACTTGCTGCTGCCTTCTTCGTATTGGCCTTAAGCGCAACAATTATATTTAACACAATGAAAACTGTGTCTAAAGCAGAAAAAAAAATAACATAAAACATGTAAAACACTTAACTGATTGTTATATATATACTTTTTAATCCTAAATGTTAAAAAATTCAACATTTTCACATATGTATTGTAACAAATTGATGTAACAACAACAACAGGCACAACGCACAGCTGTGTGTATGTGTGTGTGTGTGCGAGTGAGTGAGGTTTTCCTTATGCATAAAGCAGTCGCTTACTCCGGCACAAATTGAATGTTAACTGTTTCCGTATTTAGTTCAGCTAAGATTACACGCACTTGGCACATGTATTAGAAAATAGTTTGTAACTTAAAGCCACACAACACAACACGCACGCACGCACACAAACACATTTTTTATATGGCTACTATATATGTTTATGGATATATATCTGTATAGATCTATTATACACTTATACACATAAATTTATATATATATTTATATATTTTGTAATTACACCTCTATATGAAATGGCATGTATTTGATATAATTTCGTGGCGAACGTGCGACATAAATTTGCTTGAATGAATCGCGAACATTTTGTGCAGATTGATGTGAAATAGTATTATTTACATATTTATCTACGAACTTTCTGCTACAAATTTTATTCTGTCGCTGCGCTGAAAACTTTTTTTTTGCTATCGATTTTAAGCCACGAAAAACTACGACAAGGACGAAGGCCCAAACACTGAATGGCGAATGAATACGAGCACGAGAAAAGTCGATTACAAACTGGCTTCAAACTGGAGCACAAATCAGGAACACGAGGAAGATCTGCTAATGACTCGTCCTCTGCAACAGCAGCAGCAGCAGGCAACAAAAAGTTCCCAATTTGCATTTGCAATGTTCCCGAACTAAATGTTATGGAGGCAAAGTTTATGTCGCGTGTGTGTGTGCGTGCAACAGCTGTTGTTGAGCACTCATAGGCGCATGCGCTACATGGAAATGGCAACACTGCCAGCCAGGCGACTGGACGCTACCTGAACGATAAGTGCGTTTTGATCAAATCGATGCCAGCTGCTGTCGTCCACACGTAGCTCATGTACAGGGCAAAGATGTTCAAATAATATAGCTGACCGATGAGTATGTGATCGGCGATGTCCTCCGACTGATAAAATTTCGGCTTTCGTATCGAGGCAGCAAATACAATAACAAACTGCAACAGAGGCGAGGCTTGAGCTAAACGAACGTTTTTTCGATATTCCAAATAACACTATGGCAAAAAAGCTCTCAGTTGTATCGAGCTTCAAAGCTAAAGCTCTTTAAATTCAAGTTATTTTATGTAGGACAAGTTTGACTTAAGTTAAAGCTTGATTTTAAGTACGAGATTAGCTTAAAGTCTAATTGTGATGCGAGCCTCGCGGAGCTAGAGTTTATAACTTAAAGCTTGGTTGAGCTTTAAGTAAAAAAAGCTTTAAATGCGTGTGAAGTTGAACTTGTTCTTGACAAATTATCCTATAGCTTTAAGTGATATCGATGTAAATTTGATAAAAGAGCTTTCAGTTCATAAAGCTTTACGTACGCGAAGCTGTGAGATACATCAAAGCTTTAAATTGAAATCCTTTAAGTGATATTTGCTTAAAGCTTGACTGCTACTTTAACAGTTTGCTCAACGTGATATATATAGATTTTTAAGAAGCTAAACTAGAGAGCTTTCAATTCAAACTTTCTTCGAGTGCCTCTAGTGTTATTTGGTAGGAAGTAACGGCACTTACAATATTTGACATGACAGTGTAAATGAAGAGCGCCGGAAACTCGATCGATATATGCTTCATCTCTGCACAGACGATGATGCCAAAGCACGTCAGCACATACATACGCTCACTCCAGCGTATCACATTGTGGCGTGACACCTGTGAAAGGGGGCAGAAGTCAAGCAATAGAATGATCTAAAAGAACACTTGGAATTCACTACGAAGAGTCCACGTTGATGGGCTACAGCGCAGTTGCCATAGATGAAACTAATGGCCATGACAACGAAGGTAAGCGCCCAGGATACGACCAGGGAAATAAATGGAGCTGTCTTAGCGGGCTTCATTATTGAAATGGTATTCACCTCGTACTATAGAAAGGGAGACACAGGAATATAAAGAGTATCCCCACAACTCACTCTCTTGGCTTACCGTCCAGATTCCGACAAATAAACGTATCCATTTCGATTTGCGCTCGAGCATGCTATAAAAGAACACATACAGCTGTATCGATATGAAGCTGACAAAGAAATTCATCAAGCTGACGTAGTAATGCTTGGTGAGAAACCGCTTGAGGGATTCGCTGCGGAACGCATAACATGGAATTAAGATCAACATATATATATAAATGAATTCAGCTCTCTCTCTCGCTCACATCTCCATTATGGCCACGACCTGAACCTGGCCGAACAATAGCATTAATATCGTCACAACATACGTTTGTTTCAGCTTCGTTCTCGCAGTCTGCTGCTCTGGAGTATCTGCGATTTCCATTTGTGGCACGTATTTTTGTACTTAAGCAACTTTTTAATTTGTATAAAGAGTATTAGTGCAAGCAACAAATAGAAAATATAAACAGATTAGACGACGCCAACTCTGACGATGCCTAGATGAAATTGCAGTTGGGAGTGCCCGACTACGAGATACCGTGACTTTGCTTTACTTTGTAGTTAATTGCTTAACAATGCCAGGAGTCAAGCCAGCGACCTCTTGGCAACTGAACTGACTTTGGCGGGAGTCGAACCTGCAGCCTCTTGACAACAAAACTGACTTTGCCTAAAGTCGAACCTGCGTTCCCCTGACAAAAATGCATCTCATTCAATCGCAAAGCGTCGCAACTTTGAGTGATCCAATTTCTGCTTCTCTAACTTACAAGTTAATTATCTATATATTCTATTAAATATGTGGCTCATTTACATTTAGTCTATATTTGCAAGTGAATTTTAAGAATATTTTAAAAATCTAAAAAAAACCAAAATTGTATACGGAATACATAAAACTAGCTGCAAAATTTAAAGACTCTAGCTAAAAGATATAATTTAATAACCGAAGTTCGATAAGGTCTTTAATCGATTGTTATCGATTATTTGAAACAAACTAGACCATTTATAAATTTAGACAACTCAAGAGCCAAAGATCAAAGCTGGACCTGACCAAGAATATTCATGGTCTGCAGTTGCACTTAGGCATTTCCCATAGATATGCATACCTTTATGATATTATAGAACCCTTGTCAATATTTCAAAACAAGTTGGCATTTAATACTCAGCTCTCTCTCTCTCTCCGAGCAGGTTTGCCCTTTCTCGAACTGAAATCAAAAATGCTTTGATCCTTGTGCTATTGAGCATTTAAATTACTAATAATATTCCTAATATCTTTTTTTAGTAACATTTTTTTTACATAAATTCTTCGTATATGTCTAAGAGAGGATAGGAAGCAATTTCAAGAAATGGGGGATGACGCTGGAAGTGAACATAGTCGACGGAAGTTCGTCGCAATCGTTTATCTGATGACTCTGCTTGTGCTACTGGTGGCGCTTGGCCAATGGCTGGCCGTTAGTTTTGTGTAAGTGGAATGAAATAATCCATAGATATGAATATATATATATATAAATATATCGGTTTTGGTCTGTCCATTGTCCAGTGACGCGCTCTGCGATGTGTTTAGAGAATTCGAATTTATCAGCGGCATCTTCTTCACGCTGTCGGTGATATTAGTCCTGATCTTCATATTTTTGGAGAAGGTTCGCGTTATGATCGCTGTGAATTGGATATTGGCGATATTAATTGTGAGTGCATTTCTAGATTTCTATATATATTTATATATATGCACATGATGCCATTGATTGTATAATCCATTAGCTTGAATTCGCCATACTGGGGATATTTGCTCTGGCTGCGCGGACCAGCTGGCCAGAGCTGGTCCTTTGGTTTTTGATATGTGTCCTTTTATTATTCATTGCTATACTCGTAGGCTCGATCCTACCGGTAAGTGGCAAGCTCAGACGGCCAACCAGCTAAGCCTCACAAACCTCTTCCCTCCTCAGCATGACCTGACTCTGGATGTAGTTATATTATTTGTAATATCATTTATATTCCTGATTGTTTCCGTATTTTTGGTGATGTTGCATCTAATGACACTTACAGCCCATTCGATTATCTTGCACCAGCTGTTCGTGAGCATTATTATTCTGACGGTAAGTGTTCAATAACGTTTATATTTTGCTATCATTCTTTCTCTTTCTCTACTCCCTCTTACTTCCAGTTTGTCATGTACCACGCTCAGACAATAAACGGAGGACGCTTTGCGGAACTGAGAGTAAACGATTATCTACTGGCAGTCATCATACTCTTCTACGATTTCATTGTGATATTCTTGTTAACATTTTACGCGCAAGTCCATTATCCGATAGTTAATCTGAACCCCCAGACGACTACGGAAGCCCCAGGAACGACAACTCCAGCAGGGGAGCCACCAGCAGATGCTCGCGCCGCCTTCCGCATCTTCTAACAATGCTCTCAGCGTTGAAATTCACTTTGCTTTCCAAATATTCCATATAGTTTACCGTACCGATTGTATTCAATTTAATAATCTGTAAAATAATTGAGCTCATTTATTAAACATTCAGTAACGACCCAACTCGCAATGTTCGATTATTTTTATCCTTGTGCATTATGAATATGGATATGAATATGAATAAAAAATGTGATTGTGAATGTGAATGTGAATGTGAATGTGTATATGAATATAAATATGAATATGAATATGAATATGACTATGAATACAAACATGTGACTGTGCATGTGACTGTGCATCTGCACTCTGCCTCTGCCTCTGCCTCCTCTCTGCCTCCCCCCCTGTGCCTGTGCCTGTGCCTGTCCGTGTGCCTGTGCCTGTGCCTGTGCCTGTGCCTGTGCCTCTGCCTCTGCCTCTGCCTCTGCCTCCCCCCCTGTGCCTGTGCCTGTGCCTCTGCCTCTGCCTCTGCCTCTGCCTCTGCCTCTGCCTCTGCCTCTGCCTCTGCCTCTGGCTCTGCCTCTGCCTCCCCCCTGTGCTTGTGCCTGTGCCTGTGCCTGTGCCTGTGCCTGTGCCTGTGTCTCTGCCTCTCCCTCTGCCTCTGCCTCTGCCTCTGCCTCTGCCTCTGCCTCCCCCCCTGTGCCTGTGCCTGTGCCTGTGCCTCTGCCTCTGCCTCTGCCTCTGCCTCCTCTCTGCCTCCCCCCCCTGTGCCTGTGCCTGTGCCTGTGCCTGTGCCTGTGCCTCTGCCTCCCCCCCTGTGCCTGTGCCTCTGCCTCTGCCTCTGCCTCTGCCTCTGCCTCCCCCCCTGCCTGTGCCTGTGCCTGTGCCTGTGTCTCTGCCTCTCCCTCTGCCTCTGCCTCTGCCTCCCCCCCTGTGCCTGTGCCTGTGCCTGTGCCTCTGCCTCTGCCTCTGCCTCTGCCCCCCCCCCCTGTGCCCGTGCCTGTGCCTGTGCCTGTGCCTCTGCCTCTGCCTCTGCCTCCCCCCCTGTGCCTGCCTGCCCCTGTGCCCCTGTGCTTCTGCCTCTGCCTCTGCCTCTGCCTCCCCCCCCTGTGCCTGTGCCTGTGCCTGTGCCTCTGCCTCTGCCTCTGCCTCTCCCTCCGCCTCTGCCTCTGCCTCTGCCTCTGCCTCCCCCCCCTGTGCCTGTGCCTGTGCCTGTGCCTCTGCCTCTGCCTCTGCCTCTGCCTCCCCCCCTGTGCCTGTGCCTGTGCCTGTGCCTCTGCCTCTGCCTCTGCCTCTGCCTCTGCCTCTGCCTCTGGCTCTGCCTCTGCCTCTGCCTCTGCCTCTGCCTCTGCCTCCCCCCCCTGTGCCTGTGCCTGTGCCTCTGCCTCTGCCTCTGCCTCTGCCTCTGCCCCCCCCCCCCGTGCCCGTGCCTGTGCCTGTGCCTGTGCCTCTGCCTCTGCCTCTGCCTCCCCCCCTGTGCCTGCCTGCCCCTGTGCCCCTGTGCTTCTGCCTCTGCCTCTGCCTCTGCCTCCCCCCCCTGTGCCTGTGCCTGTGCCTCTGCCTCTGCCTCTGCCTCTCCCTCCGCCTCTGCCTCTGCCTCTGCCTCTGCCTCCCCCCCCTGTGCCTGTGCCTGTGCCTGTGCCTCTGCCTCTGCCTCTGCCTCTGCCTCCCCCCCTGTGCCTGCCTGCCCCTGTGCCCCTGTGCTTCTGCCTCTGCCTCTGCCTCTGCCTCCCCCCCCTGTGCCTGTGCCTGTGCCTCTGCCTCTGCCTCTGCCTCTCCCTCCGCCTCTGCCTCTGCCTCTGCCTCTGCCTCCCCCCCCTGTGCCTGTGCCTGTGCCTGTGCCTCTGCCTCTGCCTCTGCCTCTGCCTCTGCCTCTGCCTCTGGCTCTGCCTCTGCCTCTGCCTCTGCCTCTGCCTCTGCCTCCCCCCCCTGTGCCTGTGCCTGTGCCTCTGCCTCTGCCTCTGCCTCTGCCTCTGCCTCTGCCTCTGCCTGTGCCTGTGCCTGTGCCTCCGCCTCTGCCTCTGCCTTTCCCCGTGCCCCTCCCCCTGCCCCTGCCTCTCCCTCTCCCTCTGCCTCTGCCTCTGCCTCTCTCTGCCTGTGCGTTGCCTTTCTCCGTCCCTGCCTCCCGGCTTGCTCTCTCTCCTTTTTGCTTGTTTTCACGGTCAGCTCTCACTACCTCGTCCTTTGTCGTAAATTTTGAGCTGGTTCGCAACCAGATACCACATGTATCTTCGAGATACCAAATCTGACATTCTTCGACCTTTTTTTGTTTAACTTTAACGCTGAAATTTAATCACATTGAGGAGTAAAATAAATGTACAGATATCGCATATAGAACATCGAATATATATAGCAAGAGAGCGCGAAGTGTTATATAGGAATATATGTATATATATATATATAGTTAGTATGGGCTAATATTGAATTTAGATTTGCAACATTTCACAATACATTTATAATACATGGGACTACATTTGGGCCGCTCTCGATAGATACAGTTACATGTATTTATATATAGACGCGAATTGGTACGATAGGTAACATTATTGATTGCACAGCAGTGAAGGATCGTTCATTCGAATACGAGTAGATATTATATATATATATATATATATTAAGAGGTGTGTGTGTGTATATATAGCATTTATATTATAGGGACTCCAGCGATGAGGCAGCTGAGCAAATTGTTGCATCCGAGTCACTGAATCTGGATGCGCCCAATGCGGAATGTAGCGGCTGCGACTGCGATGCAAAGGAGCCGAGCAGCGGGGAGGCCAGATCGTTGAGGCTGCTGAGGCGACTGAGCGTGGGCGTGACGGCGGCAGCCAGGCTGAGGCTGCTGCTGTCCGTGGATGAGGCGTCCGGCGAGCGCGACGACGAGCTGCCATAGCGTTCCAGCAGCAGCTGGCTAAACGTCAGCGCCGGCCAGTCGTTGTTCTCGCCGCCCGGCTCCGTCGGCGTCGTAATGGGCGTGGGCATATGGTTGATGCTGCTGGTAAAGGAACTGTTGTCGATGAGACTGCTGACGGGCTCCAGAAAGCGCTTGCCATGATACATATGACAGGCGCCGTCCACGATGAGCCCAAGCGGCTGGCCACACTGCGGCGTGTACAAGGCAATGGGACGAAAGTGATTGGCGGGCGTGGCATTGTGATTGTGATTGTAGTTGTGGCTATAGCTGCTGGACTGGCTTGTTGGATGGTTGCCGCTTTGGTGGCTGCCGCTACGCTGGCACAGCTCCAGCAGCTCAGTTTCTGGACGAGAATGGCAAAAGATCAATAACAAGAAATTGAAGTAGAAGACGGCACATTCGATTGGCTTATCAAGCAAAGCGAGCACTGGCACTGGCACTGGCAATAGCACTAAACTGGCGACTACGCTACCTGCGCTTCATACCTTCCGCGGCGGACTCCTCGTTGTCCACATCCTCGCGTATGCTCGCCTGCCCGGCCAGCTGTGCGGCCTGGCCACTCTGGCCGGCGTCGTTGGCCTCGTCGCAATTGTTGGCGTCCAGCGTGGTGCGCACCACGGCCACATCCATGTGGGAGTCCAGCGAGAACTGCTTGCCGGACATGAGTATGCCGCGCACGCGACGACGCGTCGACGGTGATTCCTGATGCTGTAAGACTTTGAAGCTTAGGCAAGGCACGTTAAGTGGCGCCGGCATCGAACTTACCGCTATGCGTATGCCCGCATAGGTCTTGGCCAGAAATTCATCAGCATCGAAGATGGCCGCAAAGGAGCCATTGACGACCTTCGGCGACAGCGGCGAGTTCGACAGCAACAGGCTGGAGCCAAATGCTTCGCTCTTCTCTTTGGTGTCTAAGAGTTGAGAGAGTTAAGTTGAATAAGCTAAGAGTTTATGGAATAATTTTATGAAAATTGCTAATTTTAAGTTTAGCTTGAGCGGCACAGAACGAAATTTACTGCAAAAAGCTATTCACAGTTTCCTAAGAGTTGTAGTTTGACTTGTAGATACTTTTGTATCTTACAGATACATTTGAGCATTGCAGTTAATTGATTAGTTTAGCAAGCTTTATATATTTATGCACGCATATATCTGTTAGATAAGCTTTAGTTTCTAATAGTTGTGTATCTTTAAAATACTTTTAAGCCTTAGATTTCACAGATACGTAACTTGAAAATCCAACTGTGGCTTTCAAAATCAGCTTTAACTTTTTTTAATGTTTCTTTACTGTGCACTTGAAATGCTATTTAACTTTTAGATACTTTTGTATCTTATAGATGGATTTGTTTACAGAAAATAATCTAAACAGACAAATTTTCTAATCTAATATTTTAATGCAGCTGCATTTAAGCTAAAGATACTTTTATATCTTTAAAAACTTAACAAAACTATTTCAACTGAGAGATTATTCAAAAAAGTAACTTTAAGCTCATATTTCTTTATAAAGATACTCTTTAACTTCACTATATAAACAGCTAATTCTTAAGGCTTCTGTATGCTTTTCTAGATACTTTTTTAACTTAGCTAGAAATATCTATAACTGAAACTGTCTTATATGTATACAATCGATCTATCTCAATAATATTTCTATCTGTCAGATACTTTCTTAATAAGTAACTAATTGCATAGATACTTTTCTATATATAATCCATATTTGGCAGAACTTTTCGAGCTGTCTTACTTACACACACAGAGATACTTTTGTATCTTCAACTCATGAAAGCTACATTGCGTATCTTTAGTACCCGCTGCAAGCAAAATAAAATACTGCGTCTTGGGTGGATCAAAGTGTTTTATGCTAAACACAACAAACAAACAATTCAAAGCAACAAGCAAACACAATAAACATAAAACAAAACGAAAAACAAAAACAAATGAAAAGCAGAACGAAACGAAGGTGGGAAGGGCGCAGGTGTCAGTAGTTTGGCAGTGCCCAGTGTTTACCCTTGAGATAGACGCGATTCGAAATGGTGATGTTCATCTCGTCGAGCACCAGCGAGGCCACCTGCTTGATCTCCATCCAATCCTTGACAATGTCATCCAGCGTCGTGTGCGTCGAGGTGATCGTGAAGCGTATGACATACTGGCCCTTCAGCGAGGACGGCACGCAGTGCTGGTTGCCGCGATAGTTGAGGCGCTTGAGCAGCCGTTCGGTGATCTCGTTCTCGCCGCGTATGCGAAAGACGACCAGGCCCAGATGCCGCTTGGCCGGCAGCTCGAAGCGATGATCGGCCAGCACCAAAGCCTCGAGTTTCTGCGCCAGACGCACGCCTTCCCTGATGTGGCGCTGCAGACCCTTGATGCCAAACGAGCGCAGCACAAACCACACTTTGAGCGCCCGAAAGCGCCGACTCAGCGGTATCTGCCAGTGCATGAAGTCGACAGCGACGCCGGAGTTCTCGTGCTGCAGATACAGCGGCTCCACGTTGAACGTGCGATGCACTGCGGTGCTATCGCGCACCCACATCGCCGTCGCATCGAAGTGCACCATCAGCCACTTGGAGGGATTGAAGGCAATCGAGTCCACGCGCTCGATGCCGCGCAGCCAGGTGCGAAACTCAGGGCAGATGAACGCGCTGCCCGCATAGGCCGCATCCACGTGCAGCCACAAATTGTACTCGCGGCACACGATGCCAACCTAAGAACGAAAATTCCAAAATTCACAACTCAAGTTAAGCTTGACTCCATATGGATGGATTTATTCCTGTACAGACCTCATCCAGATTGTCAAAGCTGCAGCTGCCTGTGGTGCCCAGCGTAGCACAGACCTATGTGTAGATAAGACATTGTTAGTAGAGCTAAATTAGGCAAAGTCTTAAAGCTGAATGTGAATGAGAAGCCAAAGAAAGCTTTGTAGAAACTGTAGTTTGAGTAAGCTTTCTGGGGAATACTGTCTCTAAAGCTGTTCAGAAAGCTGCTTATAAAGCTGCCTAGAACGTTTCATATAAAGCTTCTTGGAAAGCTTTATGAAAAGCTTATTTTCTTTCATTTTTGTCAGCAAAAAATTTTAGATTTTTAGAAGCTGTAGTCTGTCACTTCAAAAGGTTTTTTTAAAGGCAGCTTTATATGGAATAATGTGCTTAAAGCTGCTTATAAAGCTTTTGGAATGCTTAATATAAAACTTTTTGATAGCTTTTTGAAAAGCTTGTTTTGTTTTAAGTTTTTAAGCAGAAAATGTTTCCCAAGAAAGATTTGTAGAAGCTATAGTCTGAGGCACTTCAGAAGCTTCATTAAAGAAAGCTTTATACTGACTTATACAGAGTCTAAAACTTTTTAAAAGGCAGCTTATAAAGCTTCTTAACAAGCTGAGTCTAAAGCTTTTTAAAAGGCAGCTTATAAAGCTTCTTAACAAGCTGACTCTAAAGCTTTTTAAAAGGCAGCTAATGAAGCTTTTAAAAAGCATGCAAAGCTTTTTTTAGCTTCTTTTCTTAGTTTTAATTGCTTAAGCTGAAAATGTTTTATAACAGAATTTTATATAGTAATAGTATGACGAAAATTATTACTTGGAATTTATGAAAAATGTAAGAGCTATGCCAGAATAGGATGAACTAAAAAGTTAATTGTCTAGGAGTAATAAATTGTTATTGACTTGTAGATCTTCACTTAACTAAATGATTTAATATCAGACTTAAATATTTAAATATTTTATCTCTGCTCTTGATTTCATGTCGCCTAACATGGCATGCACAGATCGAAATGATATAATGAAAATATATAGCAGCTGTGTCGGTTCGATGGCGTCTTCATTAAATTATGCCATTTATAAAGTCCTGGAAACCTAAGAGATTAAATTAGCAAAGATTTTCATTCAGCACACGTTAGACGCATCCCCCAACAATGGTTTCCAGTCAAATATCATATGCTTGGTTATGCGATGCCAAGGATATAAACCTGGAAAACTAGAGTATCAGATTGCTTATCCATAAATATGTAAGTCCTTCTCTCAGCACAGCATACGCCTTAAGTACTAAGGATATAGTCTTTAAATCTAAGTTTGAACCCTGTATCGAAAAATGTGTATCTATTGGAAATTCCCATTGAAACTGTACAGAAAAATTATTTTACGAAATTTGTTGCATAGCCTTGAGGGGCAGCAGCTGCGTTGCTGTAGCCTGTTAAGTGCAAAATGTTATTTAACATAGAGTTAACATTGCACTTTCAGCTAACATAGAGTGTAGCTCAAGAGCTTTAAGCTGCGCTTGAGCGTGTTGCTGCAAGGCTTTTTGCAGCCAGTAAAACGTTTACAAAAGCTCTAAAATTAAGTTTCAAAGAATGTGGGAAAAGCATTGAAATATAAACTTAAGGAATAAAGAAGAAAACATTCAAGCTTATAAAAAACTAGATTATTACAAATTAAAATCAAGTTCTACATAAAATGAAAAGTATTTGCAGCTGCCAGTGAAACGTTTACGAAGGCTAACCACAAGAGAACAGTTAAGCAAATAGCTAAGCTGAGCAATCGGCTGCAGAGGCACTGACGCATATTAATTAGCTCCGATGGGAATCAGAGAAGCAGCTAGAGAAATCTAGAGAGAGAGAGAGGGAGGCAGAGGGCGAGGAAACAGAGAGTGAGACGCAGCTGCTGCTGGCCACAAATCCACTCAGCGCCTAATTACACAATGCGACGACGACGACGGCCAATTAGTTTTGACAAGCTGAAAACAAGACAAGACAAGAGACGACAGAACTCACCCAGAATGGGACCAGGCCCTGCTTAATGTCGTCCTCGATGGCCTCGCGCAACAGTTTGCCCCGCATGGCCAGCTGCTCGTCAGCCTCGATGTAGCGCATACGCACGAGTCCTGCGTGGGCGGGTGGGCGTTAGACTTAAGCGGCTTACGTATCTGCTGCGAACTCACCAATCAGGGCGGCCTTCTCCACGCTCGAGTGCGCCTGATCCGAGCAGTAGGCCACGAGGCGGGCATTTATCTCCGCATCCTGGTAGCCGGGATTGCGCTCATGGAAGCGCTGGATGGCTCGAGTGCGGCCAGCGAGCAGGCAGACCAGCGTCGCCTCACTGGACGTCGTCTGCAGCACTCCGCCGCCCTTGCAATTGTTGCTCAAGTGCAGAAACTCATCGGGCAGTCCAATCATCTTGCCCAGCCAGTTCATCACCACGATCTCCAGCTCCGTGCAAGCCGGCGAGCTGGCCCAGGTGAAGCCCAGGCAGTTGATTGCGTCTGCCAGCATGTCGCCCAGCAGCGAGGGCATCGAGTTGAGGGCTGGAAAGTAGCCATGCATATGCGGCGACTGCCAGTGGGTCACGCCTGGCATCACGATGTGCTCCACGTCCCCAAAGATCTTTGGCCACGGCTCCCCATCCACGGGCGCCGACTCCGGCAGCAGCTGCCGCATATAGCCGGGACTCACATCTGGAAAGACGCGACGCTCCCGTATGTTCTCCAAGTAGTCCGCTATATAGTCTACCATCTCCTTGCCTGCAAGCCAAACATTAATAATATTTGCTTAAAGTTAACAAATTTTAAATGGATTTAGGAATTTTTTAAAATTTACAAGAAAGTTTTAGATTCATATTAAAATTATTTTAGAAAATTAAAAAACTAAATTTAAATTAATTAAAATTGATTAAATTAAAAATTAAAAAAATTTAAATTCTAAATTTATCTATCACTGAATTAACATAAAATAAATACATTTAAAAAAATTAGTTAAAAAGCTTCAAATAGAAAAAAAAATCATTTTTCATTTTTAAAACTAAAAAATAATTAACTGAAAAAGAAATGTGAATTGTTTTAAAAAAAATGTTAATTATTTAAAACAATAAATTAGTCAAAAAAAGAAATATATTATATATAATAAATAATTTATTCATTTAATATAATATTTATATTTATATAAAATAGCATCATAAAATAGATAATAATTAACTAAAAAATATTGCTTTTATAGCTAAGAAACATTAAACGTTGCTTACATTTTATGCTAAGAAATATAAAAATTAAAAAAAAAAAATTAAGCAATATTATTTTTTTATATAATTTAATATTTCTACATTTTTACTAATTATTAGACTAATTTTGTAATTTAATAATTGAATTTTTAATCAAATAAATAATTTTAATAATAAAATAAAAAATCCACTTTTAGCTAGAGTAAATTGTAAAATAAATATTATTTAAATATTTATATTAATATTAGTAAAATATATAAGATATATAAATATATATAAAATAAATAAACATATATAAGCTATAGCAAAAGCTTATAAAATTCGCCTGGAAAATGATTGTGAAAAAAGGGCAAAATAATTTAAGCAAACTGAAAGCTTTTTGAATCAAGATAAACGAGCTGAGTTTTATTATATTGAACTGGCCAAATGGCTAAGGACAAATGTGAAATCCTTTTAGTAGTGGAACCAACACACACGCACACATATACATACATGCACGCATGCAAATCAAATTAAATGAGATACAATTGTATCTGAGCTGCCGCTGTGCGTTTTATGGACTTGACTTACCCCTTTGACGATACTCCTTAAAGTCCATGGTGCGCTGGCGACTGCAAGAGTGTGTGTGAGTGCGTGGGTGTTAACTGTTTTGCAGCTAGTAAATATCACTGGGTATTAGCTTGCTTCCGTTCGCTAGCTGTGGGCCTCTTCTTTGGATAACTGCTCTAATCGTAGGGGCTACATGGGCGCCATTATCTGTAGAAAGAGTTTTTTTTCTGGATTTAGTTAACTCGTTTTTTACTCGTTTTTTTGTGTGTCAAATTCAAATGGCAAATTGGAACGTCGACCGCTGACTGAAAGTGTTCAAAAAAAAAAAAAGACGTAGAAAAATAGCAACTTGGACGTTAGCCGCCGCGTGCTTGTGGGGCTTCAGTCTAATTGGAAATGAAAATGCGAAATGAATGGAACGAAACGAAAATGTGTTTTTCCCTGGGAAACGTGGCCAGCTGTAAAAACGTCATCCAACTACCGTTAGGGTGGTTCGTATTAACCTCATTGAGCCACAGGTCGTCGTCAGAAAAAAGGGTTTTAATGATGCCAGCACAAATATTTGGTTTGAGAATTTGGTTAACTGTGTGAATTGAACGCTCGGCGCAGGCGACTTTTATAGCCGGCCGGGGATGGCACGCCAATAAAGTTAAATAAATATTGCAACAACAATAATTATAATGACAACAATTTTGTAGCTGTAGCTGGTGTGTTAACAGATTGTCCGACCGCACTGTAATTGTGGTCCATTCAAACATGGCATCGATCGCAGCCGAACGATTCGCCAACAAAATTCCGTTTAAATGTTGAGCTCTCTTTAATTGTTTATGCTGGTATTTCATTCTATTGTTTCAAAATGCTGTCAATTTACCAGCTATCTTTGTCGATCGCAGACATTGTCCCCCTATACTATATGCACCTGCTCTCAAATTGATTGAACTGCATTTTGTCATGCATTCACAATTAATTAAAATAAGCCAACAAAAACTGAAATCTCTTTAGTCCATAACAATATAAATTACAAACATGTTTTTTCATAGAATTACACCTAACACTTTTTTAATTAGAAAAAAAAAAAAAACTAAATAATAAAATATTTTCGTTTTTTTTTTACATATTTAATGTTGGTTTTGTGATTCTAATGTAGCATTTAAGATTTTCATTGTTGCAAAAATTGGAAAACATTTTATACACAATTTGTTTTGTTTGAAAATTGTTTTAAACAAAATATAATAAATATAATGCCAAAATATTATTAAGAAAAGATTAAAGCAAAATAGTTTTTAAATGCAATATTTAACACTTTTAATATTATCATTTTTTTAAACTTAAAAATGTAACACATTTTAATTTATTTATAAAAATAAACATAAAAATGAAATTTATTTCTTAAAAAAATATATAATAATATATATATTTTTTTTTATATTTTAATATGAAGAAAAGTGGTTTATTTTAAAACTAAATATATTGAATTTAATTATATATTCATAAATGCTTATATATATGTATGTATATATATTTTCCTGTTTCTTAATTTTCATATATTTTGAAAAATTATTTTCGAATAATTGTTCTTATATATTAGACAAGTTAACTATTACCTTATTGCAAAACAATCTAGCTTATCTAAGAATTAAATATATTAATTATAATTGTGTACATACATATATATTACAATTTTTTTGCACATTTATTTATCTAAAAAATATTTTATAAAATATAAAAACAATTTTATGAAAAACCTTAAGACTGAGCAACACGGTTTAATTTCACTTAACATTTTTGTTCAATATTTCTTATATTTACCAGTTAACACACACGTTTAATTATATAAGCACTTGCGTTCTAGTCCAGAAACAGTTAGGAACTGGAAACTTTTAGACAGGACGAGCTCTATTTATACCCTGCTTCGTCCTGTCGCATAAAATTCATTCAAATAATTTCTGTGAATGAAAGTAATTGTTGCTGCCAAATGCGCAAGTGTATTGGAGAAAATATATATAGTTCAAGTCAAGTCGAATTTTGTTTGCTCTATGCAAATTTTACTCAAACTAGTAAAAGCTTTTAATATTTAAATAAATAAGTTTTAAGATAAAAAATTGCTAACCATATATAAAAATTCTATATGATATAATACAATAATTTAATATTATAATTATATATTATATTTTTTATTAGTATTTTATTACTTAGTAAGTCAATTGAAACAAGAGATTTTTACTTTATTATATATAAAACAAAGCAAAGTTATTTAAATACCTCACTAATTTAAATGCTGTTTGCCAATTTATACCTTAAATAGCAACGACTCTCTTAACGAAGAGTATTGAAGCCAGCAACAGGCACACCGAAAGGACGTCGAAAAGGAGAGCACAACAGCAAACAGCCAATGGCAGCTGTTCGCCTAGGGAAGCCCTAAGCAAGCAATTGACCAATCGGCGTAGGGCGCACACAGAACTTACCCACACACACACACACAGAGCACACGCACAGTGAAACGGGATCAATGTTGCAGGCAATTTGAGTCCGCAGCTATTTGCTTAAGTGCTTGGACAAAACTCTCAAGTCTCGGACAGATTTCGCCTTGACCAATAACAATGTCGGCATTAGGCTTATCGGCTAAGAGAGCGAGCGAGCGCGAAATAAATTGCTAAAGACACACAGCCAATTGCATAAGCATCTTTGGTCTTAATTTTTTGTTGTTTTTTTTTTAAATTGAGTCAACGCTTTATGCTGTACAGGAAGACATAAAAATCTGTTGAATTGCTCGAAGCTCGAGTCGTCAGCGAACGGAAGAAATCAAATACAAAAACCAAAAAAAAAACCCACCAACAATACATAAAACAGACTTCTAGCCCCTGCAGCTGTTACCGACCTCCGCGCACTGTTCCAAAAGCTTATTACACAGTTACAACGGCTACAGCGACGGCGACGTCGACGGCTGCTGGAGGTCAATGAGCTTTGCTTGTGGCTCGTCTCAGAAATTTCGTCAATATACCGCTACATTCAATGGCTTTTGCACGTCTGTATGTGTTCGTTTTAATTGTGTGCGTGTGTATTACCAAATATTGAGCAATATAACAAGAATTTCAGTTTCTTTTGGCTTTCTCGAGACAGTTACAACGCTTAACCGCTCTCCATAACGCTGTCTCGGTCGCTCTGTCAGCCAGTGCGACCGCAGCTTTTAATGCACTTTTGTTTAGCAGCTACGTTTCAGAAATTCTTGCTAAAAATACATTTGCGTTCAGGTTATTTTCATCAAAATACTTTTCAAAATGCATACCGCATAAATTTTTTGACTGTTCGCTCTCACGCGCTCTCACTCTCTCTGTGTCTCTTAGCATCTGCACTCTCTTAAGTTGTGCGACGATCATGCTTTCTCTGCGCGTACTTTCTTTGCGCTCTTTGGTTCGCCCGCCAATGGCGGTTGACTGTTGCGCTCTCTCCGTAATTTCTTGCGCTCTTTCTTGCTCAGTTTTTTGTGTTTTTGTGTTTTGATTCCATTCTTCTTCGCTAAGAACGTTCGTTGACCTTTTTGCTTGTGGGGCTTGTTGCTCTGACGCTGCTGACAGAGACAGAGGCAGCGGCAGCGGCCGTTGCTGCTGCTGCTGTTTCTTCCCGCTTAGCGGTACTTCTCAACCTGTTTTATTTCATTTTTTTCTTTCTTCTGCGCTGCTGCTACCGACTTGTGATAAGTTTTCTTTCGCTGTGAGCGTGCTTGTCTGGCTGTGTGTGTGTTTATGTGTGAGTGAGTGTTTGCTGTAGAAGTCTTCCTGTTTATTTAACGATTAAAGTTAAAGGTGCGCTTTTTTTGTATGTTTGCATAAATGTGAGTGTGTGTGTGTGTGTGTGTGTATGTAGCTGCAGCTGGAGCCTGCTGCGCTGCACGGCTTTGATGACGCGGCCCCCAACGTAACGTCACGGGCTCCAACAACAATTTTGATTCCAAAGCGGACGCTGGCTTTCTAGAGATGGTAGCTATGCGATAGGTCGTGACACGATGCCAACAGTGTAAAGCTTACTTATGCCATTGAGCAAATCTATCAACTCGACTTATCGTGTCACGCGCTCATCTCGAATCGTTTGATTCCGACTCTGATGAAATACGCGAATGACTCTTGTAACTTTCGTGTTGCTGGGGTGTATTTTTGAGTGATGATCATGTATTTAATTAGCGGGAATTCTTCTTCGTATGCGTGTGTGTGCGTATGTGTGTGTGTGTGTGTGGCAGACAGGTAGGCCAGGCGGGGTGGCTGATGCTGAGACAGTAACAGAGCCCGACTGTTGCTGCTGCTGGCAAACTCCTTTCTCCTTTCTTCGAATTGCAACTGAAGCTGATCGCGAGGCCCGATGCGCGTTTGGCCGTTCGGCCCGCCTTCCGCACAGGTTTCGAGCTGCTGGCAGATGAGTCCGCGCTGGAGACTCCGGATTCGTATTTGAATTCCTGGCCGTTTAGTGTTCGAACGTTTGTCCACACGTCCAGTCCAGCGCGTCCACTTGTGTTGCGCTGTTCTTGGCCCTGCACTCTCGCGCGCTCTCTGTCTCTCTCTCTCTCACTCCTGCTCGCTCTCTCGTGCGCCAGCCAATCAGCGAATCGCGCCCACTTCGGCTAATTTACCGTTTGAAAACTGTTTGCTCTCGTGTGCGTTGATCGTGAACTGGTTCGCATTGAACTAATTAAGTGCCATCGTTATCGATAACATTGACATGTGCCCCCGAAATGTTATCGAAACTGGATTGGCTTGTGAATTTTTATTGCAATCTTAACAGTTACAGCTCAACTGTCTAACTGTTTATCTATATGAAGTACTTTTAGATGAGATCAAAGAACGCATGTAACATGCCCAGCACGATAAGAGGTAAGTGCCAGCCAGATATGCTCTTACATCATAATTAATATATGTATTTACAAATTGATGTTAAGGACTTGTTTTTCGATTCGTCTTTAACGAAATACATTGAGTAAGAGCATAGCGAATCCTAAAATTAACTTTCAATTTGATATGGTTTCATATGAAACCTTCACCTTTTCATTATTCAATTATGTATTGCATATTCAGCTGTTGTTGTTGATTAAGTTAACGATTAATGAAGCTTTGTCTCTGAACGAACCATTGTAAAACTCTGTGAAACAAAGTAAAATTCATTTTTACTTAACTGAATATGAAGATATTACCAAAGATCAAACTAGCTCCAATAGAGTTAGCCGAGTTTTAGATTATTATGCTCATGCAGTTATTAAATATATGTATATTAAATATAATAATTGAATATATTTAAAAATATTTCATATTTCAATAATTAACTTTAATATATTTTTTTTCGAATTTAATTACATTTTTTAAAATATATTTGATTTTCATGAAAATAAGTTTTATAAAATATTTTATTTTCATAAAAAAAATTTTATAAAATATTTTATTTTCATGAAAATAAATTTTAAAAAATATTTTAAATTATAAAAATATATAAACAATTATACAACAATAAAAAATGTATATGTATAAAATTATACAAAATTATATAAAATTATAAAAAATTTAATAAAATTATATATAAATTTTTTATATAAATAT